AAACTTCAAATCGACTTCGAAGCTCAAAAAAGACATCGATACCTTACCTTAGACGTGTTCTACCTTTCATATATACTACCATATTATTGTCTTATAACTCAATTTTATACGTTTTGTGAGGTTTTAATTTCTTTAGTTTTGATATTTTTTAGAAGGGTTTGTTGTGAGATTTTTTAGAAGGGTTTGTTGTGAGGAAGATTTTTTAGAAGGGTTTTTGGGGAGGGAGAAGAAGGAGGTGGAGAAGGAGGGAAATGGTTTTTTGAGTTTTTGATTATTTGGTATTTAAGAAAGAAAAATAGTATTTATAATATTTTTTTAGTTTTAATTTCATTAAGGGTATTAAAGTAATTTACAATTAATTATTTATTTTTTATTTTTTTGGTATTCAAGTAAGCAAAAGTTGGGATTTGAAATAGTGATCCCCTATAAATAACTTTCAAAAATAACTATAAATCTTGAGTCAAATCCAAAATTAACTTTTCATTTTTCTTTTTGTTTGTAACGTTTTTTTCACTCTAAAAGACTGGGAATTTTATTCAAATGCTAATTATAATTCAAAATTATTGTTTTAATTCTTACCCATAATTATTGGTACTAATAATGTATTATTTGCACAAAAATAATGGGAAAAAACATAAATAGAGCAATGTGGTTGTCAAATAATGAATACCAAATTTTTAAATATTTGAGGCGGTTGTTGAAAACATTATAAATCAAGAAAAAGGGATTTCAAAATTTAAAATTAAATATTTGAAAAATATTTTATGCAAATTACCTATATTCCCTGTGTTTGGAATTGCACAATAAATGCAAATGTGACATTTCACCTAATTAATTAGAGTCGTGAGAGATTCTGCGCCCATATGGAGCTTTAATTGTTACAAATAAATGTGGAATTCAATCCGTTATATTCCCCATTTTCTATTAAATTAAATTCACCTCTATAACTTGTATTCGATTCAATACTAATTTAATAAACGGTTTATCCCATGCTGCATCGGTCGATATACATCGAATGAACTTTCACACAAACATGCATATAACCCACATTGGTGTGTGTAGACCAACGATAAACAAATCTACACGATGTAATCAGCAGGTGTAGTACAGAAATAACCCTAATTAAACCCTTTTTCGATCCGAAAAACTAATGTTGCAGTCTATCTTTTGACCAATTTTGACCGAATCAGTAGGTAAACTATTTTTAATGCACTCTTAGTACGATATTTTAGACAAAGATGTTGAAATATATATATATATATATATATATATATATATATATATATATATATATATATATATATATATATATATATATATATATATATATATATATATATATATATATATATATATATATATATATATATATATATATATATATATATATATATATATATATATATATATATATATATATATATATATATATATATATATATATATATATATATATATATATATATATATATATATATATATAT